TAGCTTTTTTATCTAATCCATCCCTAATATGTTACCGTTCCATGCCGGTACATATAATGCAAATGATCCTTGAATGATACAACACTTTAAGCAGTTCATCAAATCATATCCACGTAATCCAAATAGTTAATATACAGAATTTAAACAGTTCATCAACTTGCCATCCAGAATCCATCCATGTAATTAGCGAGACAAAATTTAATAGTTCATCAAGTTAAAATCCAGAATCCATCCATGTCATTGACAATTTAATTCATTTACTTAAATTTCAACTAACCCATAGTACAGTCCACCAGTTGACAATATTAACAATAGTAAGAATCAATTATAAAGCTAAGAATGACAAACTATAATTCAGAAAATCCACAGTACTAACCAATAGTTGCTGAAACATATAGAACAGTTTAACCATTAAAATAACAATCTCCATTTAATTAATGAAACCTAATTTATTAATTCATTAATTAAAATCCAACCTATGCACAAATAAGGTCTACTAGATGCATGACCCTATTCTGTATGAACTAAGTTGCTAAATTAAATTTATACAACTAGATACTTTACAATCGCCAACAATGTGCGTCATTACTTAAAACTCCCACACTGTGAAAACCCTTAGCATATTAGGATAAATTATGCATTGTGAGTCCTAATATAGCATAATATCATGTTTAGATTCCATGCAACAGTCCGTTAAATTTTTAAAACAAAACTTAGCGCACTAGTCCTTCCTATCCGTTAGCAGCGTACAAAGTCGCTTATTTTTACACTGTTTATTCCATTTGTCCTATGGACCAAAATATACAATTAGAGGAATTAAAATCCCTTGAAATTACTTTTAGAATTCTCAATCTAGTCCTTGAAACCATTTAGAATTTCAAATATGGCCCAAACAGTGCCTAAACAGCTCCAGATTGCATCCAAACGTGACTTAACCAAGGGAGCCTGCTCTAAAATCAAAGAACAGGCTCTATGCCACCTAGAGCTGGCTCCCTAACCCCTTGGAGCTGGCTCTATGAAGGGGGAGACGGCTCCCACAATCTGGAGCCTTCTCTTCTCCTTTTTTGAGCCTTCTCTACTCCTCTGTTCGTCTTTTTCTTCCACGGCGAACTTCAGCCTTCTGTTCTCAGTTTTTTCTCTACAGTTTTCAGAGTTCAAACAAGGTCTAAATAGCCCTAGAAATTCTTTGAATTCCATTATAAATTGATTTACAGAGGTTTAAATCTGAATCGAAGCAGTCTATACAAGAAAGATAACACAGATTTACACAAAATGTAGAACAGATTTCAATTTAATTCATTATGCATAAATACTTGTTTTAAAGTTTTATTACATCCCTGGAGTCTATTTAGAATGCACAGAACACAAGTTTATAAAAAAGGAATAGATTGAAACTTGCCTTACGATTCCGATTTGAAATCTTCACCGCCGTCTCTAAGTTTCAGAATTTCCAAAACTGTTCCTTCCTCCTCTGTCTACTGCCCTCTACTTTGGTTACTCCTTGGCTTAATCCACGAGCAGTTCCCTTACTTAATCTCTTTTAGCCTCACCGATTATCATTCAAAACTCTCTCTGTTTTCCTCTCACCTTTCTCTTTGTTTTACCTCTCCAAACTATTACGTGAATAAGGTGTCTCACAAAACCCTTGTAGACATAAAGTTCTATATATATAGACTCTTGCACAACCCTAATCCTAATTCTAGCCTATTAATACGTCGGCTACCCTATTTACATAATTTAAAACCCTAAATTTAAATATACGCAACTACTGTAATACACATAAGTAACAAAACATTCACGTTCATCCCAACTATATCTGTATTAGAATTAACTAACTAATTAATTAATTACACTCAACCAAATTAAGGAAAACAAATAAATAAATAAATATAACTAAATAAAACACTTAAAATACATAAACAATTTCAAGTCAAATAAATAATAAAATACATACACAATTAGACAATACTAATTTAAATATACAATCAATCAATTAAACAATTAGGCAAACAAAACAAATTTACCAAGTAAAACAATTAATTTAAACAAAAACAAATAAATCATATAATTAAATAAAAATTGAAATAAAAATCAAAATTTTAAAATTAAATTCCCATTTTATCCTTTTGAAAACTAGGGGTATTACATCAACTCTCGCGCGGTACCTTTTAAGAAGTTTTGCCAATTCCATTTTGATGCCAGATGGGTGCCAGATCTTGTGTATGCCAATATCATTTGAGATGCGTGGGGGAGTGTCTATATATGGTTCCCGTATGTATCGGTGGTCAGAAAAAATTAAATCTTGTAAAAAAGCTCTATGTCAATGGGTTTGAACTAAAAAATTCAATTCTAGGCGCCAGATCGCCTGAACTGAAATTCGATTGAAACACTTGAAAGAAAACATGGAGGAATATGATGATGCTCAAGTGCTTCTGGAAGAACGTCAGTTGAATTCTTTGTGGAGGCAGGAGGAGTTGTATTGGTTTCGGAAATCTCGGATTGACTGACTCAGGTTGGGAGATCGTAATTCAAAAAATTTTCATGCCTTAACCTACCTTAGACAATGGCGAAATCATGTTTCTAGGGTTGAGGATTCCAATGGCCGCTGGATTAAGGAGCAGTCGCAGATTCAAGATATATTTCTCAGTTATTTTTAAGATCTGTTCCATACGAATAGGCTTACGAGAATTGATTATTTTCTCAAGCACATTCCGTCTCGTGTTTCTAGGGATATGAATCAGACCTTAATTCAACAACCTTCTGAAGAAAAAATACGCCGGGCACTTTTTGACATGCAACCATACAAAGCTCCAGGTCCAGATGGTTTGACTCCATTGTTTTACCAGCAATATTAGCCTATTATTAAGAATGAGGTCATCGATGCGGTTAGTAGTTTTATGCATTCAGGCCATTTATTATCTAGTATGAATCATACCAATATTGTTCTTATTCCAAAAATTAAGTCTTCCACTTCTGTGTCTCATTATAGACCTATCTCATTATGTAATGTTGCTTATCGTATTGTGGCCAAGGTGCTTGCTAATAAACTTAGACAAGTCATTCCCTTAGTTGTTAGTGAGTTCCAAAGTGCTTTTGTTCCGGGACGCCACATAACTAATAATATACTCATCACTCATGAAATACTTCATTATCTTAAAAATAAACATACAGGGCAGCAGGCTTTTACGGCCTTAAAATTGTATATGAGTAAGGCTTATGATAGAATTGATTGGAACTTTTTATTGACCATGCTTAAGAAACTGGGATTTCATCCACATTGGATTCAACTCATCCATGCGTGTATCTCTACGGTCTCATATTCGATTCTGATTAATGGTAGACCAGTTAGTATGTTTCGACCCACGAAGGGGCTAAGACAAGGGAATCATTTATCCCCGTATTTATTTATTTTGTGTGCCGAGGCTTTCTCAATGTCTTTATAGATTGATCTTCAGCATCGTGTCATATCTGGGATCCGTATATGTCCCCAAGCGCCTCCTCTTTCACATTTATTTTTTGCAGATGATTCTATTATTTTCTGTCAGGCATCTACTTTTGAGATTGTCTTTCTGCAATAGCTCTTAAAGCAGTATGAACAGGCATCTGGACAACAGATAATTTTTTAAAATCCTATATTTTCTTCTCTACAACTACAAGTACTGAGGATTGTGTTCGCTTATGTCAGCTGCTGGGAATTCAGGAGGAAAGGTTGTGTGTTAAATATTTGGGTATACCAGCAATTATAGGTCATTCTAAATGGGATGTTTTTTCCGTTATATTTCGGAACGCATTACTAACTGTATGGCCAATTGGAAGTCTCTGCTTTTATCTCCAGCAGGTAAGGAAACTTTAATTAAAGCAGTTTTAAATGCATTATCGATCTATGTGATGTCTTGTTTACAGTTACCCCATAAGCTCTGTGAGTCAATGAGAAAGATTATTCATGGGTTTTGGTGGGGTACAGATGGGGAATCTGCTAAAATTAGTTGGGTTAAATGGGATAGTTTATGCAAGGCAAAGGAGGAAGGGGGGTTAAGATTTCGTAATTTTGAGACGTATAAAGTTGCATTGGTGGCTAAGTAGGGGTGGAACTTTCAAGTTACTCAATAGGGGTTAGCGAAGTATTTGGTCTTCCCAACCTCTTTTGGGTGCTGGCTTTAGATGTGTGATGGGAAATGGTCGCTCTATTAATATTTGGAACGATCGATAGGGTTCCTGGTATTTCTGGTACCTTGCCTCGGCCTGTTTTTATGGTGACTCCAAATTTGGTGCATGAGCTTTTTAATTCTTTTGGGACTGGTTGGAACGTGGAATTGCTTAACTCTTTATTCCAACCGTCCATTATGGCTAATATTCTTGCTTGCAGTTTCAGTTTTTGCTCTAAGGAAGATGCGTTGGAATAAGCCGAAGAGTTTAATGTTCGGTTCTCAATTAAACCTGCCTATCATTTGGCTAACCGCATGACAAGGTCTCCTGATTCCCTATCTCAGGAAATCTTTACAGTTGATTCTCCACACATAGGATGGCACTGTTTGTGGAAATGTAAAGTTTCCCCCAAAATTCAGCATTTTATGTGGAAATGTTGTCAATCTGTTATTCCAGTGCGTAGTCTTCTCCAGTTACATGGTATGGAGGTAGAACCAGTGTGTCCTCGGTGTGGTGTGGTTGCGGAATCCATTGAGCATTTGTTATTTCAGTGTCCTCATTCTGTCCACGTCTGGAAATTATCACCATTAAGGTTGGATTTTATGTCTAATCCGCCTGTTTCTTTTAAGGAGTGGTGGATGAACTTGCTGATCCAATAGGGGCAAGGGTTTGACAATCAGGATTCACTTTGTTAGATGGCTTTTTGTTGCTGGGGTATTTGGAAAGTGCGAAATAGGTTTCTTTTCGAAGGTGAACTGTTTCCTCCTTTACGAATTGTTACCTAGGTTTCATCTAAGTTTTGGGAATTTAAGAACTCCATTGATTCTTCTGCCCATTCTTTGGTTACTACTTCGATGGGAGATGCTTCCATTCTACCCGTTCCTCCATCTTCTTCCCATTGGTCACCCCCTCCCATGGGTATTGTTAAATGTAATGTGAATGCATCGTTTTCCCTGTCGAATCAGGTTGGTGGTGGAGGGGCTGTTTTCCGGAACTCTCAGGGTCAAATTCTGCAGTCAGTGGTTTTCTCTCCTTTCACATCGCATGTGTTTCCCAGGCTAAGGCTATATTTCTCCGTAAAGCAATCTAATGGGCTTTATCTCAGTGTTATGATCAGGTTTGGTTTGAATGTGATTCGTTGCTGGTGGTGCAGGCAATAAATGGTGTGGATGGTGGTTCGGTGGAAATTCATGCTCTTTCTTTTGATGTGCAAGTGCTTTTGGAGCAGTTCTCTTTTTCTTGCCTTAGTCATGTCCGTCAGCATAGCAACGAAGTCGCTCATGCGCTTGCCAAGCTCTCTCGGCCTCATATTACGAGTGATATTGCTCTTGTTCATACTCCTGGCGATATTCTAGATTTGGCAGCAAAAGATTATTTGTGTTAATCTTGTTGCCGTTTGTTTGCCAAGGCAAAAAAATAAAATATTTAGTACTAAAAGTACTCAATCACAGCAGATTTGACCACAGAGAACAAAAGTACTCAATCACAGCATATTTGACCACAGAGAACAATACAAATTATGGCTAAAACATTTTTAAATGAAAATAATTTTCTATCAATTAGTAAAAGAAAATTACTAATTGAAAGAAAATTATTAGCAGTGGTCTGAAGTCTTTACAGGACATGTGCTAATAAAGCTTATAAAGAGAGCCGGTCCTTTGCCAAGGCCATCTGCTTGCTTAATAGTAGTTGTTGCTACAGAAAAATAATATCACAGATGGTATAAGGAGCGTGCAAATTCAGGAACTTGGACATGTATTACATGTCATCTAATGCAAATAAAGATTTGGCATTTTTCTCTTTGGAGGGCCAAAACATGTAAATAGACTGTATAAGCATTGGACAAAGGTTGGAGAGGAATAGTTTCTTATTCTACCAAACAAGTGGAAAAGACAACCTTTGCTTGATTGCTCTCTCTCACACAGACAAACAATGGGGTTGGTAAGGTTTGACACTCAAAAGGATTAATTGAGGTGTTTTTCACACTCATGGTTTTTGTAGTATAATTGGAAATATCACTCAAAACAATTAGCTTGTGGTAGAAACACACGTACGCGTCCATGACAATAAGGTGAAGCACTAATAGCATTTTGACTCGTCCACAACACTAAGGTGAAGTACTAATAGCATTTTGACGCGTCCATGACACTAAGGTGAAGTACTAATAGCATTTTGATGCGTCTATGACAATAAGACAAGTACTAATAGCATTTTGACGCGTCCATGACACTAAAGTGAAACAGTAATAGCATTTTGACGTGTCCATGACGCTATGGTGAAGTGCTAATAGCATTTTGCCTCAATTCTACATTTATGGAGACGACGATGAAAATAAATTCAGTGGTACCATGAGGTGCAATCCTCATGGTTTTTGTAGTATGACAAGAAATATCACCGAAACATCTAAAACCACTATGAAATCAAACTATATTGTCGTGCACGTCTAGAGGGCAATTAACATGAAGAACAGCCATGAACAGATTATTATCAAATCCCATAGCAGCTGCATAGGGAATTGGAACAAAATGCTATATTGAAGTAGAACTGAATTAAATTAGCAATCTTCCAGTAACATATATAATTCAAATGAAAGATTAAGAAGATCTCGCAAGTCACAGTTGCACAAAAAATAATAAATCATTCTACCAAATGCGTGCATGATTAATGAAAGATAAAATAGTGCTGCACAAAATCTCCAAGCCCTCTATATAAGGAAATTGAATAAATACTTGCCAAAGAAATTCAATTAAGATCAAAAAATTCAAATAGGGGATGTGTAAGTCACTTCAGTTTGGAAGTAGATATTTTACAACTGATATGTTCCACTTTTACCTTCAGTTAGGAAGTAGGTCCAATTTTTCTTGATATAATTTCAACAACTCAGGAGCTTCCTCATAACAGTTCACAAACTTCTTGAGGAAAACACTCTCTGTGGATTTCAACAATACCTCTGTACTAACAGGTTTCTTAATCAAACCTTTCAACAGCAAAATTGAAGTACTGAACACCTGGGAATTATCCTCTTACCCAAGCTCAGTGACATTAATTCTGGACGATGGGCAATTAGGGAAGACTCCCAACCCATTGTGTTGACATAGAAATTCAGCACCGCATTTATTTTCTCCTCTGATATCATCATACAGCACAGACATTTTGTAAAAGCCAACATTGTTTCTTCCTCATACCAACCCCACTTCTGATAAACCTCCATCCTCATTTTCAATGTTGTTTTGCTCATTAACTTCAAATTCAATGCTCGAACCACTATAACAAAGTTGATGTCTGTAGGGTTGAAACCCATTTTCTTAACATCCTCCACTACCTCATTGAATCTATCAGGCTTTACGTTGAGTGGCCTACCATAACCAATAAGTCCGTACATAATATTTGAATCGAACACGCTGTGTTGTCTCAAGTTTTCAATGTTGGAGAATGTAATATCACTGCGATAGCAGTCTACAATCCTAGGAAATCGTTTAAAGGCCGTGATAAACTTATCATTTGAATGAAATAAATTTATGAACAAAGTGAAAGATGGGATGATATGGTTCTCCAAGCTATACGTCAATATAATTGGGCTCATGGATACCATATTTGCGAGCTCGGTGCTGGAAATGCCAATGGAGTAAAAGAACTCGAATTTGGGTAAAAAGATTTTGTTGGGATCTGATAAGAAAAGTGTTGGGCGTTTTCTGATGAGATCTAAGATCTGGGTTTTGCTGAATCCATGGTTCATGAAGAAGTTAATAACTGAATCAGGTCTGTCTAGAGTTTTAGAATTGTTTTTGGGAAAAAGATTATTGTCAAAATCCATGGTTCATAGCAAATCTCTTTCTCTAGGGTTATGATTTGTACGACGCTCAGTTCACTTCGGCTGAAGCAGCACAAGAGTCACAGTAGAAGGGTAGAGATTAATGACAATAAACGACGACGTTTGACATAACTTTGTTCCTTTTATTTATTTATTTTTTAGGGCAAAGTGCATTAAACCCCCTCTACTTTCTACTTTTGGCATGAGACTCCCCTCCAAAATTTTCTTAACATAAAACCCCCCTAACATTTTTTTGTTGTTGCAAACTGCAACCTAATGACAAAAATGCCCCTTAGAGTTTTTTTAAAATGATTTTCATTATATGTTTTCTTTTCCATTTTAATTTTTTCTAAATAGAACTTTAAGTAAATTTTGAAAATTACACGCCATTAAAGTGATGTTATATTGACAAAATATAAATTTAAGAAAATTTAGGTTTCTTTAAAATAATTTTCACCTTAGGTTTTCTTTTCCTTTTTTATTTCTAAGAAAATTTGAAAAATCCAAGGTATTTTTATTTTTTTATAGATGCACTATTAATTTTATTTTTCGGAAATATTTTTTTTTAATAAAACTATGTTGAATGAGTTATTTGTATTAATTTTAATCTTATATTAAGGATTACCCTATTCTTAAATATTTGTATTCTCCGTATTATATTAAGGGGCATTTTCGTCATTAGGGGTAGTGTTGCAACAAACAAAGACCTTGGGGTGGTTTATGTAAAAAATAAATAAATAAGAAATAAAGAAATTTAGTGATGGTTTTCTGCCAAAATTTGAAACCAGATGTGGTTTTATGCAATTTGCCCTATTTTAAAGCCTAACTTTGGTCCTTTTATTAACTTCTATTTTGCATCTAAATTTTGTAGTACTCTGTATTTCTTTTATGATTTTTATATACACACATGTAGACATATGTGTATATATTAAGCATTTTTTTTCTTTTTTTTAATTTTAATTCTAGGTTAATATCTATATATAGGGGCTCAAAAAAAAAAAAAAAACATGGAGTGTCAAAATATTATTATTTTATTATTTTGGTTTATTTATTTATTTATTTATTTGTCAACGAGGTCTCTAAGGCTTAGAATACCCATAATTCACCATCGGACACATTTCTTATTCCACATGTACACGATAATTATTTGAAAATTTCTTACTAATAATCTCAAGCGGATTCAAGCTCCCAACCTTTATATTGTGAGGTTATCTTCTTGGGGTATATATATATATATATATATCTCAAAAATTGAGTAGGGCCAATTTTTTTATAATGTTAATTAATCATCTACTCAGTCTTGTGTCCATGTTAATTAATCATCTACTACGGGCTTGTCTGTGGCCTTTAAAACCAATTGGATTCGGTCCAAATCAGGCCCATTTGTATGCAAAGAAAGATTCGTGCTAGTGATTAGATACAATTAACTTTGTTCAATTTATGCTCTGATTTTTATATATACAGTACTCAACCACAGCACCATTTGGTCAGAGGGAACAATACTAATCATTGCTAAAATCCTTAATTCATTCTCTTCTTGCAATTGGGTTCTCCTTGAGATGTACAATGACTGGTTAGAACAATGAAAATTTTGTGAGAGGTACAGATTACAAGTATTGAAATTACGTCAACGGCTGAATGCAACTTGAAATAACCCTTTTGTAAATCGCAAGGGATGCTCTATTAAAGAAAAATTTAATCCTCGCCTTCATGTAAATATAATCTAAGAGTTAAAATTTTGTCCAGCAGAATTAAAATACTAAAATGACAAGATAGTCCTTAAATGACCACATGACTCATTTTAAAGGCACGTGACTTATAAAATAAAACCACAATGACATTAATATCCTAAATATAAAATAAAGTCAGAATTAAGACTGATATAAATGACTCTAGACCATAAATCATCACATCATCGGCTGCTCCTATAAATGGAAACTCTTCTTAGAATGTTCAACTATTTGAAGATAAGCCTCTAGCCTGAGCAAGCACATTATCCTAAAGTCTTTGTAGCTTCCCCACGTGCATGTGCTCTCTTCCAACATTCACGTAAAGCATGTGCTTGTGATCAGAAAGACTTGATCTTAAAGAGCAAAAGAGATAAAAGTAAAGTACCAAAACAAGAATGGAGTCATGCTTATGTAGGCACAACCCAAGGGCTTGTAAGGGCCAAATTATAATTCTTAACCAAATCAAATTCATTTTCTCCATTCATTCGCCAGGTGTCCAGTGCCAAGTGCTGTCTATAGCGTGTCAATATGGCACCACACGGGTCACAATTGACATTTGGTTAACTAATTAAATTTAAACCCACAAAAATATATTAATATATTACATAAAAATCTTAATACTAGCTTTAATTAAATTAATCCTCAAATGGATCAAGATAATCTAATAATTTCTCCAAAACCTTGTCCTATGTCTTTTAATTTTTTTTATTTTTATTTTTTTGATCTTTTTCTTTTTATTTTACTTTCTAAATTTGCATTAAAAATTGTCACTTATGGTTTTAGGGAAGTTGTATAAACTTTTGAATCGTTACAACAATAATGTGGTGTAACGGACGGTTATAAACATTTTAACAGAGTAAAGTGAACGTATAATAGAATCAAATTAAAAGCTGATATATGTAGGTCCACTTTGCTTTGGTGGAATGTTTATAACCATTCCGTACATCACGTCATCATTGCAACTGTTGCAATGAACAATTTCTCACTTTTAATATGGTATTTAAAAATCATTCTTAAATTAGAAAGCATTAAACACTTTTAAGAGTTTTTTCTAATAGAAATGATCTGTTCTTCATTGGTGAGTGATAAATTTATATACACATTGGATTTGATTGTTATGTTTTTTTGGTGATTATTATTTTTTACACTTAAATCGTATATTCGTATCTAAAGAAGGAAACAACTTTACTACTTTTTCTATTTTATCCAATAATTATGGGGAAAGTGTAAAAAAAAAAAAAAAAAAAAAAAAAAAAAAAAAAAAAAAAAAAAAAAAAAAAACTCATGTTATATATATATGCACACACACACACACCTGGTGTTCAAAAAAATTTGTACATTTTTAAAATTGAGAAATAAAAACATTTTCTCGATTTGACTATCAAAATATTTAAAATACCAAATTAAAAATCATTGTTTGTGACACATGTTTTACATAGTGTTTTGGGGGTGGGGAGGGGGTTTGCACTTTATCCAATAATTATTTAAACAACAAAATTGTTAAAACATGCAAACAGGTTAATATATATATATATATATATATATATATATATATATATATATATATTTGTTTGTGCTATTAGGAGTTGTGAAGAGTGTGACAATGGACTTATTTAATTTAGTTATCTAAAAGCAGTCTAAAGAATTGCGAAACAAATTTTTTTTTTTTTTTTTTTTTCCTACAAGAATTAGAAAAACAATTCTTCTAAATTAGAATCATTTTATAATTTTATATTTAAATTCCCAAAAATTTCTAACTAGATAAATTATAATATTATTCCTGTTTCTTTATCTATGAATTAAAAAATCATTTTTACATTACAAAGCATTAAACACTTTAAGGGCGTTTTATGATTTATCAAATTAAATAGACAATAACAAGACTGTTACAGCTTACAAACAAGTGAAAAAAGTTGATTATGTTACTAGTATGACAATAGTAAAAACAAATCTAGAACCCAACCCCCTTCCTCCCCTCTTTACGCGTCTGTTGACTTGACTCTTTTTTAGAACCCAAACAAAAATAGATATGCAAACACACACAAATATATATTAAAAACAAAGTCAAAAAAGGTAAAGTTGCAAATGGCAAATACCTTTTGACTTTTTAATAACTAAGCAAAATTAGAACTGCAAACTATTTCACGGGCAAAAAATCGAAAACTGAATTATATATCTAAAAAACTGAAAACTGGAAGTGGGGTTGTGAAAAGCTCTATTGAAAAGAATGGTTTCAAATTTTTTTTGGAATAATTACACTTTACCTCTTTTGAGATTTCCGTCAATTTACATTGACCACCCTTCTTATTTGTCATATTACACTCACCTCCCCTAACAAGCATATAAGATGGATGGTGTTAATGGAAATAGTATAATTACTAATTTACCCTTTGTCCTCTCTCCCTTTACAATAACATTACCGTGTGCTCCGAACACCATCTCTGACGAACCTAGTACAATCTGGTGAAAGCCACAGTGGTGACCGCTCTGCGACTTCATATATATATATATATATATATATATATATAAATCCACATATATACTGAGAAGCTCACCTTAAATGTGTATAGCTCTGCGAAGTTCCGGTACCTTGGCATATGGTACAAAAACAATCCATTTACAGTAATAATTGGGAGCTTCGAGTATCAGCAAAGATGTAAATCTTGTTCTACTTGTTCTACAGATCTTGCATAATGGGAATTTTGGTTTAGAAAAGGTAATGTGTTGAACACCAATTAAAGTGACCTGGCCTAGTGTTAAGAGCAACTCAATGAGTTAAGGAACTTTTGTTTTAAACTTCTTACCAGATAAGAACCACACGGTCACACACACATATTAAGCCATGGTGAGCCCTAAGTTCCTAGTTGTCTCAATTGGGAAGTTGTTAATGAAAAGGATGATTCTTTCCTTTGTTGATACCTGTTAAAAACCCATTACTCTAGAAACCTCATTGTCGATTTTATGAGTCCATGATTTGACCATGTGGAAGGAAAAAAACACTCAAACACAGAGACAATAATTAATCAAGCGATGCCCAATGATTCATTTATGTCTTTAATTTTCTGTATATTTTGGAACCCAACAAGAATAAGCCAGAGATTAATATGTAAACAAGAGATAAATTAGTAAAGAAAAATCAACAATAATGTTTGAATTCCTGTTGAAGAGCTTCTTCTAACAAAAATTCAGATTGACCCATCAAATCAGGGCTCAATCTGAACATGAGAACGCAGAACTCCATCTAATTGAGGGCTCCATCACCGTCGAAATCGC